ATAATACTGAACAGGCTCAATTTTGCTACAAAAACAAAATCCGTCTGGAATATAATAAAGAAAATAGCAGGCAAATACCAAACACTGTAAAACATCCCTCGGTAAATAACTCTAAAATTACAAAGGATATCACTGACTAACTAGCCAAAACAATCTCTAAAAATTCATCTGCCAAGTATGGTAGCCAACAATTTCTAAAGTTCAAACAAAAAAAACGGAAAAACTAAAACTAAAATTTAAATCAAATAATGCCAGTAACTGGAGAAACTAAATGAATTTTTAAAGAAAGTTCACAATACAATTGTGTGTCTAGATGATATCCACTACGAATTCATAAAATGGTTACCCAACAAATCAATACAACTTTTATTAAACAACGTGGACAGCTTCCCAAAGATTTGGAGATAGTCATTCAACATGCCTATTCCAAAACCTGGAAACAATGACACAGACCCTAAAACCTACAGATCAATAGCATTAACAAGCTGCCTTTGTAAAACTATGGAGAGAATGGTCAGCATCAGGTTGACTTGGTACCTGGAAACTAAGGGCTTAAATAGCGACTTCCAACATACGTTGAGGAAAAAAAGAAGCACCATGAACCACTTAATATGCCAAAAAAACCTTTTGGTAGGGAAGCCTTCATCAAGAAGGAACATCTCACAACAATCTTTTTGACTTAGCAAATTTCCATATCGTACACCTTTTTGTATCTTGAAAAACCTGCATGAATTGGGCCTAAAAGGACAGATGACTTGGTTCATAGAGAATTTCCTGGTGGACCAAAGATTTCAAATCCATCTAGGAACTACACTATCAGAAATGCAAAATCAAGAAGATAAGGTTCCACAAGGAAGCATTCTTTTGTTGACCCTTTTCTGCATCAAAATTAATTCCATATTTAAATCTCTAAGCCATGGAGTGAGATTCTCCCTATATGTCAATGATTTTCTAATAAGGTACAGATCTGTACATATGCAACTATAGAAAGCCAACTCTAACAATGCCTCAATAAAATACACAAATGGGCCACTGAAAGTGGTTTTACCTTTTCCAAAATGAAAACCATGTGACTACATTTCTGCCAATTAAGTAAATTGCACAATGACCCCTGTTTAAAATTAGACAGAATAGAAATTCTAGTAGTGAAAGACAAATTTCAAGGCATCATTTTTGACAAAAAATTAGCATTCAATCCCTATTTTAAATATTTAAAAATAAAATGTAGTCAAGTCCTCCAACTTCTACATGTAATGGCTAATACTGAATCGACAAATATTAATTTTACAAATCACTACTTTGCTCAAAACTGGATTATGCTAGTTTCATGTAAGGGGCAGCCAGAAAATCATACATAAAAACACTCATCAAGGCCACGGACTAGTTCTTGAGGCTTTTAGGACATCGCAAGTGAAGTGCTTATACACAAAAGCTAATGAGACACTTCCACATTTAAGGTGCACTAAATTGGCGCTACAGTACTATGTCAAAATAAAATCATGCCCAACTGACCTAGCTTACAGCAGTACCTTTAAACCTAATTACTGTGATCGATTCCAACAAAAAGATAATACAATACAACTCTATGGACTCAGGATGGAATCTATTGCTGAAGAGTTAGGGAGGACCAAACTGTCAAACGTACAAGAAATGACTGCAGGCAGTATTCCACCATGATATTACCAGAAAAGGTGCCTCCCAAAGGGAAGCTCACTTTGGATGCTTACACAATAGAGCTAACTCGGAACATCATCACAGGGAGCACAGCAAAAACATTTCTTAATATTTTTAAACTCACTTTCCGTCCCAGTGGCTTTGAAGTTAAAAAAGAAAAAAAAGGCCAAACACTTGTTCATTATCAAACTATTATGCAAAATGAGCAACACTACTCACAAACATAAAGATATCAAATTTATGTCAGATTCTTAGCCACATCGGAGTGGAAGGTGACAAAGCAGATATAACAGCCAAATAAACTTTAGATATGACCAGATTCGGCGACCAAAATCTCATGCACTGACTTTAAGCAGGTCATTAATGAATACATTAAAAAAGAATAGCATTGGTGCTGGGAGGATAACCCACAGAATAAGCTCTTCGCAATTTAGCCCCAACCAGAAGAATGGAAGTTGGCTTTCAGAAAATCTCGAAATGAAGAAGTACTACTGACCTACTTACACATTGGCTACATGAGAATAACCCAGTTGTACTTGCTAAACAACAAAGATCAACCAGTAGGCCAAGCATGTGAAACAGCATACGCTATTAAACATATATTAACCGAGTGATCAGATCTTGCTCTCTCAAGACAAAAATTCTATAATATAAACATGTATGAGCTCTTTGTTAAAGCAAAAGTAAATGACATGATATATATACCCAAGTATATAATTGGTGTATACGGAATGAATTCCAATAACCAACAATTACTATTCTTAAAAGAGTGCTCAGTACAAAGTAGAGCAGATATAATTATTATTTTTTTTTAAATTTATAACATAAATATATAAAATTTTGTTTGGTGTTGAAACAAAATGGCTATTTTTGTAATGATTTTATAACATATTTATGTTATAAATTTAAAAAAAAAAAATATATATATATATATATAAAAACTAAATGAGAATGTCAATAAAATCAGTTTCTGTATAAATTGTATAGCTGAAAAAAACATCACTGAAACTTGACTCTCAACAAAAATCCTCTTTACAAAAATACATCAACAAAAACTGATTTACAAAGAATACATATTCTATCCATACAAATCTATTGTAATAGTCTTGTCGGCATTAAATAACACATTGATAAACACCTTGATAAACCGTAAAACAAAATAAACCAAACTAGAATCTCAACAAATCCTCTTTACAAAAATACATCAACGAAACCTGATCTACAAACTGATTTCTTACAAAGAATACATAATCTATTCATATGAATCTATTGTAAAAATCTTGTCTGCATTAAATGACCCACTGAGGTGTTGATATGCTGTAAAATGAACCAAATCAGCTGAAGGCATAAAAGCCAATAAAATAACAGCTTAATTCTTCCGACAAAATCAACCTTCAATAGTGTAAGACGTTTGATGGAGTTGACAATTTCTGATATTTGTATCTGTCTATATTTCTGAGATGATTTATTATAATTATTTACATTGTTCGGACTATTGTCCTCATCGTTGTTGCCTTATTCATGACGTTTCAACCGCTGTACACTCCAGCCTTCTTCAGGTGATTGATTGGAATTTTGAACTGAACCCTTTATTTCATCCACCTATGTAGACCTAGCTCCACATGCCATGCCTCTTCTGAATATCTCAGTATTTGTTATCTCCCTTTTCACTAAACTCTCCAAGTTTTTGTTCATCTCTGCTGTAGCCAGGTATTGAACTCACAACTCTTTGAGTCAAGTAATGACTCAAAGACTCTTGGTCATTTCCCTGTACCTCTACAGTATCAAACTCCTCATGCTATCCTTGACCTTTACGAGAGCCACATCTGGGCATCATCCTGGGTATGATGATAAACCATATCTGCGTCCTGGGTAAGACGATAAACTAAATTCAACAGCAAGGCCTCTGATCACAAGGTTTTGAGAAGTGTAAAACCACCTCTTGATTGTGTTCCCAGGTCCACCCTGACCCGGGGTGGTAGCATCTGTTAGGGTCCCAGCTATGGGCAAATAGTTAACCTTTAAACTGAGGTTAAAACACTATGAAAGTGTAAAAATAGGTTTTAATATCAGAAATACTTTTTTATAAAAGATTTATTACCAGAAATACATTATTATTAGCAATAAATTTTTGAAAAAAATATATTACCAGCAATAAAAAATTATCGACATTAAAGGTTGATATGCCGTAAAACAAACCAGATTTGGCCAAAAATGGAGTGATGTTGCCATATTTGGGTGGGGGGTGCCCAGTCCTCGCTTTCTAGTTTCGATAGAGTTCAAAAGTGTCTCTGGGTCCTTGTGGGTGAAAAATTATTTTCCACCCTCCAAGCTCTCTCTCTCTCTCACACACATCTTGCAACCTCAGCCGAGATTGAACTCACTAATACTTTGATTGGTGTAGTTCATAATCTTGTCAAATAGCTGAATTCTTGATGTTTTGCTAGGGCTATCAAGGGTATTTTATCGTGATACCATCACTAAATGGATTGCCAACCAAGGCTCAGAGAGACTCCATTCACCCTCCTCTAAGAGCAGGTTTGAATTCAGAGTTTTCCTTCTCCTAGACTAGTTACCATTCAAGGCTATAGAACCCAGTCTGTCCTGCTATTTACCCATAGCTGGAGGGAGAAAAAAGAGGATTCACACCTTTCCCAAGGGTTTTAGCATGTAAGTGAATGTAATGGATTCGACTGGAATTCGAACTCGGCTCTCCGATTCCTCAATCCAAGCCACTATCCATTACTCCACTGTGCCTCACAAGTGGGATGTGGTGAGTCTCTCACTGTTTTATTGCTACTTTCATGAAAAATGCTCAAACTGCATTCCTTTTTTCTGCTGGTTCTGACCTTCATGGCTAGGACCGACCATCTCATTTACTGAGTAACAAATCACCCACATTGTCTCCGTATTCCATCAGTGAGAAATCAGTTCCACTCAAACAACTTCTTCCTGTGATGCACTTCTCTGTGGAACCAACTCCCAAGAAGATGTTTCCTGGATCACTACAATCTTAACCTGTTCAAGTCACCCCCTTCTATCCATATAAACTACCTCATAATGTAACCCTCTACCATGAGTAGCTTCTGGGCCTTGTCGAGAGTGAACCTTACTGTCAAAAAAAAAAAATATATCACTTCCTGATATGGTGATTCTTTTGAAAGAAATAAAAAAAGATATTTTTTTTTTCTTTTCCATGTCCAGATGTACAATTTTCTTTTCTTTTCTGTGTCCAGGTGTACAATTTTCTTTTCTTTTCCGTGTCCAGATGTACAATTTTCTTTTCTTTTCCGTGTCCAGATGTACAATTTTCTTTTCTTTTTCAGGACCAAATGTACAAATTTATTCAAGTGGCTGATTTTGATTATCAAGAAATGGAAATTCTCCAAAATGAAAAAGTAAAATCATCATATGCTATTGCACCAATGCCAGATGACATTTCAGTCTATAAGCTTCACAAGTATGTATTGGTCTTTGATAATCTGCAATTTTTTTTTTTTTTTTTTTGCTGCTGCTGCATGGCACATTGTCTTTTGTTCTGATATCCATCACATTATGCTGAGGTACCCTTGTCATTTGCAAAACCTTGAACAAGGCTATAAGTATAGAGCACTTGGTGAGAAGTAACCTTTACCACACTGCAGGCAAAAATTGTCATCATAGAAGTCTCTCCCTTTGCTGCTCTAGGCGCATTCTGTTGCCTTGAGACGGTTGTTATAAATAATCACTTGTCAACTGTTATTTCCAGTATTTTAAGCTGGAAATCGCCTACTACTGCCTTTGGAACAAGGCTAAACTTCCATTTTCTAGTGCCATTTTAAATTCTTCTAGATTCTACACGAGGTGTAACACTGATTAAACCCCCGTTGATTTTTTTGCGTTTTTTTTTTTTTTTTTTTTTTTGTAAACAAAAATGGCCACATCAACATCCAACAAAGCCTTTATTCAGGTGTTTTTCTTTGATGAAGGCCCAACTAAGAACCCTCCGCAGTAGCTAGCTTAAATGCTACCTGATAGGATGTCTTTTAAGCTAGTTATATTTGATATTAATTTTACTTCAAAAAAAAAATAAACTTTTGTTTCATGACAAGGTATGATTCCCCTGACCTTTTTATATTTAAAATCTTTTCATTGTACCCTTTTTTTTTTTTTTTTTTTTTTTTTTTTTTTTTAGGTTTTTCTGTCAAATGGATTTGAATGAAACCATTCAAGAAATCGAAAACACAAAAAAGGAAATTTTGTATCTAAGTCAATTTGCTCCGGGAGGAAGAAGCAGTCTTTCTTGGCCAGTTGGTAAGTGGATCTTTTTATTTCCAACCTCTGTCTAATAATATTAATTTCAATTGAATCCTTTCATATTCATGGACAAGCTTTTTGGTGTTATTATTAAAGGAAGAGAGAAAATTACTGTGTTGATACATATTTCTTCTGAGTACTTTCAAAATTAGCACAATATCATCAATGTGTTGTTTTTTGTTTTTTTTTTTTAATTTTTTCAGGAAAATAATAAAGATAAATTCAAATTGAAACCAAATCTTAATAAAATTAATTCTGAATATTGCACAAGTGCTTTAAAATATTTACAGTAGTTAGTTTAAAACATTGAGGTTTGTACTCATAGTTTTTAATACTTAAAAAAAAAAAAAACTCTTGACAACCTCTTAACATAGTTACCTCCCCTGAAGTGTTAATCAAGCTAATCTCACAACACTCAACTCTGTTCTTCACTTCAAAAGTAAAAAAAACTTCAACTTTCAGATGAACACAGCAATTTTGTCTTTGAAAATGATGAACCCTACAATATTTGTCTTGAAATATGGATACCCATGTTTGAGTAGATGCCCCGTTTATTTATTAAGCAGTATATTTATTTTAATAAATGGAACAGGTACGTGTATTGACTAAGAATGACTTTTAAAGTAATAAAATCTGTTGGATTAATAAATAAAAATTCATCACTTAGAGAAATTGTTTTGTCAATGTTATGGATACAAAACTGAATAGATATGAATATTTCAAGAACTGGGGAAAGATTTGTGGTTTACAGCACTGTTTAACATTGCTAGAGCAACTACCTATATATATATATATATATATATATATATATATATATATATATATATATATATATATATGTGTGTGTGTGTATGGGATAACAATATATAAATTTGTATATATCAAGAATAATTTTGGGGAAAAATGTATGACAAAGGGGGAAAAAGTTTTCATGCAATGTGTTTCGTCACTTAGGACTTCATCAGACTAGGTTAGTTTATGTTGATACGACTACACATACACACAAACAAGAGACACAGGAAATTTTAGATTAAAAAGAAAAAATAAATAATAATTTTTTATTATATATAGTCATAAAGTAATTATACAAAGAATTAATTAGCAATGTTAATGTGATTAATGGCGAAATCACTTCACTAACAAGAGTTAATGAGCCATTAACTTACTATCAATTCCTTGAATAACATGATCCTTATATTTAAATTGTTGTCAGATGGAATTGATGATCTTGGGCCGAGTACTTTCAACGATTTCAAATTGTCATTTTCATGGTGTTATATTTCCATTTCCAGGCAATCACCAAGACAAAATTAATGTAGTGTAGACAGAAAGATGTTTTTAAAAATATACTATTTATTGACAGTTATATTATTTCAGAAACATTACGCCCATTGCACACTGTATGTAAATTTCTTTTTTACATATTTTATCTTTGTAATTATTTAATATGCTAACAGAAGTGAAACCAAGTAAGTAAGCATTGTGGGTAATTTTAGAAAAAAAATTTTTTTTTCTTTTTTATTTTCTCTTTCTGTTTTTGTGGGCTTCTTCTTTCTCTCCAATAAATCTGCACAAAACACTTTAAATATATTCTGGTGTATTCATCTGTAAACAAATGCAGTTCAAAACTTCTTGACAATTCACAAGCCTGTTTTCTATTTCACAAAATTGGCAAAATATTTGATTATTTCCTCTACCCCTTTTAGGGGGAATTTATTATAGAAATTATTTTATTTGGGGGGAAAATTTTTATAGAAAAATATTTTGTTAGGGAAAATTTTTATAGAAAAATATTTTGTTAGGGAAAATTTTTTATAGAAAAATATTTTGTGTTAGGGAAAATTTTTTTATAGAAAAATATTTTGTGTTGGTTGGGGAAAATTTTTTCTAGAAAAATATTTTGTTTTTGGGGAAAATTTTTTTATAGAAAAATATTTTGCATTGTTGCTGAGTAATAGGTGTAGGGAATGTAAATTCCAGACCAAACTGGTCAAAACTCTGACAGCCCGAACTGAGTCTGGCTCATTTGGACCTCATAAGCCTAGAATCTTGATACTGATTGTTTTTAAGTTTTGATATAAGAAACTGAGGAGTTCAGCTGTGGCAGTAGAGTAGTCAAGAGCCCTGATGTCATTCCTCTCCCTGATTCCTTTGAAGGCTGTAGTTTCAGCTGGGAGACAATCCATGCGTATGGAGAGAATAGGTACCTGGCCAACCTGTTGATATCTGTTCTATCACGCTCTTGCTTCTTCCAAGAAGCCTGCTATGTCCCCACTGAAAATAAAACCCATAAAAAGAAAGCTAAAAATAATTGTCATTGATGGCGATGTAGCGTTGTGGTCTTTACTGAAAAACTGCCAATAGAGCAATCCAGACTGATTGTTTTTTTTATTTTGTTTTTTTTTATGGTTTATCAACCTTTTGCAGGTTATTTAAAACCAGAAAATATTTTTAGATTGTAAGACTTTTTTGGATTTATTGATTTAATAATACATGTCCTATTGATTAACCCAAAGCTGCAGTGAAAAGAGGTGGATTCATGCCTTTTGCAAGGATATTTGTGTATGTGAATATGATGAACCTAACTGGAATTGGAAGTCAGTTTTACGATTTCAAATTCTGAGCTGTTATCAATTACACTACCCACACATCCAAGCTTACAGCACCTTGTATACCCAAGTGGTCACCCATCAAGATACTGATCAGGCTCAATGTTGCTTAACTTAGGTGATCATATGGGATGCAATGTTTCAACATATGGCCATAATCCACTGGAATCCAGAGACAACACACAAGTATGTGTGTGTGCAGAGATATATATATATATATATATATATATATATATATATTCACTGCCATTCACTCAACAGTCTTTTTTGGATGAAGTTCTCTCAGTTACTGATCACATCTCTTTCCTCGAATAGTCCACTGACAACAACATTTAACATTATGATAAAGGATCCTTTTTTCAACACCAGTAACAAGCTTGTCCAGAAACAACATTTGACGTTGTGTAAATGGTGACCTGCAGCAATCAACACATTTTTAGCGATTCTCTGGAGACAGGTTTTGCAGGCCCCATTTTCCAACCACTGAAACCGTTCTAATCTTTTCAATTTGCGTATGACTGCCATATGACTAGCATCAAATTTCTTGTTAAATTCCCTAACCGTAATGGCAGAATTTACTAGAAGAGCAGATTCCAAATCCTCTAAATTGAGTCCTTTTAGAGGACCCTTTCCTGGTTCATACTTTTGTTACGTGTTGGCAATTGTAACAAAGAAAAAAATTGATTTACCAAAACACAGAGCTAAATCACAAACAAATATTTAATTTTCTAAAACACAACATAAAATATATACAAGATATACAATTGTGGCTTACAAAAACAGAAAACACAGAGTTTACGAGTGAAGTGTTACGAGGGAGAAGGAAGGGGAGTCAAGTATTATTACCACGTTAGGGCTAGCGAAGTAATCTAAGTGCTAATAACTGGAAATCCATAAATTTACCAGATTTGTTCCAAGGGGTTCTCTTTTGGGGTTTATGTTGGTTGGCAACTTTTCATAGAGATTCTTTCAGCTGGATATAATAATCCTTGAATCAAAAGCCAGAGTTGATACTGGCAGAAATTTCTTTTCACCAACTGACAACCCTTTTCCAAAAACCTATTTTTTATAAGGGCTAGCACTTAATTAGCATATTTCTAGATGTTTCTCGAATCACCTAGAATGGTCTAGAATCTTCCAAACGTTCTATTTCTAATTTCTCTATTTTACTTCATGAATAAAAACTTTTTTGTATTAACTCAGTAGAATCCCTTACTATAGAAATGCATCCTCGTAATATTTTTAACTAAAATTCCCAGTTTTGATATGAGGTGGGGAACCCCCTCCAGTAACCCCCTTTTACTCAATGCATTGACCCCGTAAGCATGCTGGACAGATTTAACTGTTGCACTTACAATGACACCTTTATGAAACTCAAAGTAAAACATTTCTAATGTGTTCTTTAGTTGGGACGAACATAAGGTAAGTTGTGAACTATATCACAAGTGGTCTTCTTATAATCTGAAAGAAAAAGATATAAGTTACTCATGGTAGTATTGATACTACAGAAGTAATACTTTAATGAATTCTGTCCAAAATTTTAACCTTAAAAATTGGACAGAATTTTCATTCTAATGTGACACAAAACTTATTTCTCATTATTTTGAGTGGATCTGTCTATTTAAGTAGCAATGAAAAAAAAAAATATATATATATATATATATATATATATATATATATATATATATATATATATATATAATTATTTAAAATTATAACATAAATATGTTATAAAATCACATAAAAAATAGCCATTTTGTTTCAACACCTTCTCAAGTGTCTACAATCTACATTTAACATTATCACTTGATAAGACACCAGAGGTGTTGAAACAAAATGGCTATCTTTATAGTGATCTTATAACATATTTGTGTTATAATTTTAAAATAATTATATTCACTCTACTCTGTATTGAGCACTCTTTTAAGAATAGTAATTGTTATTGGAATTTATTTCGTATACACCAATCATATACTTGAGTGTGTGTGTGTATATATATATATATATATATATATATGTGTGTGTGTGTGTGTGTGTGTGTGTGTGAAAAGTGTATATAAATAAATATAAGTATGTATAATTATTTATATATTATATGCGCGGTACTTATTAGAAAGCACTCAATATCAGAGATAGAGCTAACATATTTGGTTGGATAGATGTGAGTTTGTGACCCTGGGTTTCACGAGTTTGTCTGACTATCGCTAAAGCGTGAATCCCAGGGTCACAAACTCACATCTATGCAACAAATATATATATATATATATATATATATATATATATATATATATATATTAGTTTTAAGGTGTGCTATATTTATGGGATAGTGCTCAATATCAGAGATAGAGCATATGTAAATATAAAAGTGAACATTGAAGTCAACAGACAGCCTGACGATTGCGTCCAGCATGAAACAGCCTGTCGCCTCTGAGTGTTAACTTCAATGTTCACTTATATATATATATATATATATATATATATATATATATATAATATGATACGACACATGTATATATTTACATTTTTGTGTGTGTAACACTTGAGGGGAAGTATGCAAAATAATGACCCACCTCCCCAAATTTATAAAGTTAGATTTATTTTCGACAAGAAAAAAAGAACTTTGTTTAAATCAAAATTATGACACATAGACATCAGTTATGGGCAACTTTAGTCATGTTGAATATTTGTTTTACAAATTTTATTATATTTGATTTAAATTAATTTTCAAAAAAGTAAAGCTTGCTATAGTTTTGCCTTTAACAAAACGTAAATTACTTACATCTTACTAATAATGCATTCCTTTTTACCATCAATTTTGACAGCACGGGGATGCTAGTTGTTTGTGTGTGTATATAATATATATATATATATATATATATATAGCACATTAGGTACTGGTGTTAATAGATTAGTGCTTGAGTCAGGTGAGGAAAAAAAAAAAAAAATGAATATAGTTTGAAGATATTTATGGGTTAAAGTGCTCAATATCAGTGATGGTGTATGTAAACACTGAAGTTAACACCCAGAGGTGACCATCTGTTTCATGTTTAAATGCAGTTGTCATAGCCTGATTACTACATTTGACATTAAATATAAAAGTGGACAGTGAAGTCAACACCCATAAGCAACAGTTTGTTTCATACTAAACGCAGTCATCAGGCTATGACGATTGCATTTAAACATGAAACAGATGGTCACCTCTGGGTGTTAACTTCAGTCTCCACTTTTCTATTTACATACTCCATTTCTGATATTGAGCACTTTAACCCATAAATATAGCATACCTTAAAACATATATATATGATATTACAACAAAAACCTGTAAGGATTGCTACACAATGGCAATCATGTTTCAACACATAAATGTGTCTCCTCAGGAGATTGTAGATTACTGGCGAGTGAACAATTAAATACATCCTCATTTTATGAAAATAAAAAAAATAAAGGTCTGAGGGCTTCGTTTAAGCATGTTTTATTAAAAACGACAAACAAGGTACTAGGTTAAAAACAAAGCCACAATGTGCTAACCGTATTTGGAAATTAAAACATCCCTACTACACACTGACATACACATAATGCACACACTCAATTAAACTGAAAAATCGAATCATCCTTGATAATGGCTAAAGGTATAGCCGAAAGCGCTCGGAAATATAAAACATTTGGACAGTTTTTACACACTCTTTGTCCAGAAAAGCTCTTGTTAGAACACAAGAAAAATTAAATAAAAACCTTAACCATAGTACCTTGTCTGTTGTTTTTAATGAAACCTGCATATATATATATATATATATATATATATATATATATATATATATATAATCATTCTCTATATCTCTCTTTTTCTCCTCTTCATATCTGTCTATCTATCCATCCATCTATTTCATTCTCTTCATATCTCTCTCTCTCTTCAAATCGGTCTATCAATTCCCCTATTTTGTTCTCTTCATATCAATGTTTTCATATCTATCTATTTCATTCTATTCATAATTTATCAAATTTTATAAAATGCTAAATAATAAGGATTTCCTTAGAGTTCACATATTTTTATAATTTAGTAAATGTTTACAAATTTATGAATTAAAAATTGTTTTTGTGTTTATTTCTTTATAGATTGGCAAATGATAAATATTGCATTAGTTTTAATTGTATTAATTTTTAGAATGCTGTAAATATAAAATTATTCTTTTAAATAAGCAATTTAATAAATAAATATTTTTGTTGTCAATTCTCAAGAACAAAAAAACAATGTATAAATTTACTTTCATTATATGTTTAAGTTTTATTACAATTCTAATCATAGCTTTTTAAAACAAACATTGCTAAGAAGTGAAGGTAGTTCAAATAATAGTGGTGTCAAGGGAAAAACTGTCCTTTTGCAGGCACAAAGGTCCATATTTGCTGAAATATTAATCCCAAAAGTTAAAAAAAAACGTATAAAAATATTTATTTTAATTGGCAAACTGACTCTTGTTGGGCTAACGTTTTTTGCTAACATAAAGTAGAAAGATTTTATTGAATCAACTGCAAGGAAAGATGGTTCGTTGTGTCATACTAGACAATTTTTCTCATCAGAAGAAATTTTTCATATTTATAAGTCAACCATTCATTGAAATATTGCTACCACATCTGGTTTCAAAACAAACCCAATAGTATACCAATCTGAAATACTCTATATAAAAAATAATTACCCTGACTACCTTTATGGATGGAAGAAAAAAACAAAAATAAAGTTGGATGCACTGCCATAATAAAAGATCATAAGAAATGGAAAAGAATTACGAACGTAGCTTTCTTATATAGTATCAAAATAATTGTTAATTTGGCACTTGACATAATAAACACAAACCCCCACAATAAATTCATTATTTCAACGGACTCTTTGTCTGCACTTACTGCCTTAAAAATTAAAAACGTTACTGACCCTTTAACCGCACAAGTACTTAACAGAGTATATCATTTATCAAAAAATAAAGAAATAATCTTTTGTTGGATCCCAAGCCACCTTGGTATATCGAGAAATGACCGAACAGATATAATAGCAAAAACAAAAATGCTGTATACCGATTATAAAGCATTAGTGAATAGAATTATCTTTAAAAAGTGGCAAAATGATGACAAAATATAAAACCTACCATTGGAGAATGGAACACAAAATACAAGAATAGAAGAGACCAAGTTGTGTTGACCCACCTCCACATAGGAGGCCACACCTACATCACCCACCATCATTTACTGGAGGGCACAGAATCCCGAATATGTACTACATGCCAAAAAAGATTCCCAGTTCAACATATACTGCTTGAGTGTACAAACTTGAATCAAGTGCAGAAACAATATTACCAAACAAGTAATTTGAAGAAACTCTTTATGGAAATAACACCATCTAGAATATAAAAGATTTTATAAAAGCAATTGGAAGAATATACTCAAAAATATGAGTGGCCGAATACTACTGCATATATATATATATATATATATATATATATATATATATATATATATGACGATTGCTAAAAGTGTGAAACCCAGGGTCACAAACTCACATCTATCCAACAAATGAATATATATATATATATATATATATATATATATATATATATATATATAATTATTTATTTCAAAATATGATTCAATGCTACATAAGAGTTCTCGTGTTTCAAAACAAACATGAGAACTCTTATGTAGCGTTGGAATCATATTTTTAAATAATTATATTTATGCTCTACTTTTGTATCGAGCACTATTTTTTTTAAAATAATAACAAAAATACTAAAGAACTTTGGATTATTTACCTAACAAGTTCTTTCCTATTTTCTGTATATTTTTACACACACACATACATATATATATATATATATATATATATATATATATTCTACCAAACTATGCTAAAATCCATTCCAAAAGCAGTGTCTGCATTAAATGACCCACTGAGGTTTTGATATGCCATAAAACGAAATAACCAACCAACCACATCTGGTCTGTTGCTCCTGCTATTCATGTAGAAATTCTTAATAAAATCCAAAGAATCTGCAATATTATATGGTCCTGACCTGGCATCTCAGCTTCAGTCACTTTCCCACCACCGTAATGTGGCATCCCTCTGCCTTTTCTATAAATGCTTTCATGGTAATTGTTCTAATGAACTTTCCTCTATGGTACCTAGACTTCATGAATTTAAGCGCAGTACTAGATTGGCAGCAAGGTTTCTTCATTTTATAGTTGAAATGCTTATATGTAACCATAAGTTCTATGCTAGCAGTTTCTTCTATCGCACTTCTTGCTGGTGGAACTCTCTTCTGGTTTCTTGCTTCCCAATTGACTTTGATCTTCAAAAGTTTGAATGCAATGTCAATCTTCTGTCTTAATTCTTTTTTTGTTCCCTCTCCTTAATATGAGGAAAAAAAACAAACTATTATTTAACACTCTGTAACCCCCTTTTGTTTTAGTGTCTTTATTGCCTTTCTTGGGGTGAAATGTCTAAAAAAAAAAAAAAAAAAAAAAAATGCTTTCTGAAAACATCAGCCATTTTCAGCTGTTTTTTTTCTTCCTACAGGTTTACCTGCTCCTTTTAAACCAAAAAATCGATTTGATGTCATCCACTGGCAATATTTTACAGCAACCCACCTTTATTTTGATAGTGACTACTCCAATGAAAAATTATTGAAAGGTAAGTGGACGAAATGTCTCCTTTGTTCCATTCAGAAAAGTATCTCCATTTTTGTTGTTTTACAGTGATTTTTCAACTGGCAATAAATCACTCTCCTGAAGTTTAGCATCAGCCATGCTGTTGGGAGGCAGAAAGGGGTCTTTCAAATGATAAAGTTTCATTTTGGAGGTGTTAAAATTAACATGCTATTCCTTGCCCCAGTTAACAATCTACTATTTGTCTGTGCAGTGAATACTGTTGCCATATCTGGTCTGGTGCTGTACATCCCACAATTCTTGATAAAATCCAAAGAATGGTCAGTAATGTAATCGATCCTGATGAGGCATCTTGAGTTCAGTCACTTTCTCACCATCATGTGGCTCTCCTCTGTCTTTTCTACAAATATTTTCATGGCAACTGTTCTAATGAGCTTTGTTCCTTAATGCCTCAACTGCATGAATTTAAGCATGCTACTCGATTGGCAATTAGGTCTCACAATTTTGCTGTTGAACTATCAAGATGCAACTACCACTTCTACTCTAACAGTTTCTTTTCTTGCAACGATGTTATACTGTCTAATATGGTATATTTACATAAGTTTTACTTTCCATTCCTGATTTGTTGCTTCCCTGTAAACTACAATCTTCAAAAATTTAAACAAAGCAACAAGAGTCGTTTCAAGCTGTGAAATGTGTGTCAAAATCGGCAGGGTTGGGAGTAAGAATTTTTCTTTTTCTGGTTGAAGGAGAGAGCTGATCGATTAGTCTGTCATGACACTAGTCCTGGGTATGACGATAAACTACATCCGGCAACAAAGCCTCTGATTGGGAGATTGGAAGTTTGGAACCACCTTTTAATTGCTGTTGCCCCAAGGTCCACCCTGACCTGGGGTGGTAACACCTGTTATGCAAAGTGTGTGACCTGAATATGCTTGCTTTGCTTAATCTGGCACAAGGCCATGGTTAAGTTCTTGGTAAAGATGAAACTCACTCTGGTGTTAAGGATATGAAAAACTGGTTCAATAACCAGTGCTTTATGGCAAGGTTCTGTTAGAAATATTTACTACATGCTCTGCATTTGTGGTTTTGTGTCAAAAATCGGGGCACCTAGTGAGGATCAAACTCACTACAGTAGTTACAATCTGAAGATATATTTCACTCATCTTTGCTTCATAGCAAAATGGGAGTTAGGATTTAAATCTGTTTATTTTTATTTTATTTTATTTTTTTTTTTTTTTTTTTTGTGACATGTTAAAAAGAAACAAAATTTTAAAAAATCATTTTGTTTTTTGTTTCAGGGGTTAACAAAATGGACGTGGACGAAATTATCTCCTTTTCCATCCAAGAACTGAACAAACGTTACAACAAGCGCTACAGCTTCTCTCACCTGGTCAACGGCTACCGGCGGTTTGACCCTTTTCGAGGAATGGAGTATATTCTTGATCTTTCCATGCATGACACACATGCAAGCAATGTGGCTGTTGAAAAGCGGGTACATCTCGTACGTCCGTTGGGTCAGGTTGAGATCATCCCCATGCCTTACGTGACGGAAAACACTCAAGTAAACCTTATTCTTCCCGTGTCGGATGAAGACAAGGATGAATTTGGCAGCTTTTTAGATGCCTATGCTCATACCTGCCTCGACACAGGTGACAATACGAATTTACTTATCATATTTGTCTACAAAAACAATTCCAAAATGCTTAAGGACGATAAATTTTACGTTCTCAAGTCAATGATTACATATTATGACAACAAATATCAGAACAAAGGGAAAATAACTTGGACAAAATACGAAACGAAGGAAACGTATGTTTCAGATTTAATGTTAATGGATACGATAACGAAACGGTTTTCACCAGAAGCTTTGCTAATGTTTTGCTCCGTTGGTATGGAACTAACCACAGATTTTTTTAACCGCGTCCGCATGAATAATATCATTGAATGGCAAGTATTCTTTCCAATTGCTTTTTGGCAATACAAGCCAAACTTAATCTACAACAAGCGGCCATATCCAACAACAATTGAGTTAAAGCGAAACGTCGGCCATTTTGATATCTATTCCTATGAACACAGCAGTTTTTACAACAAGGACTTCCAGAATGCCCGTAAAGGATTGACATGGGACGAGTCCCGAAAATTAGACCTTTTCAAGTTGTTTCTTCGTCAGAAGAAACTGCACGTTTTCCGAGCTATCGAACCCACGCTGAAACATCGGTACAAGGCGATTTATTGTGACCGCACATCTCCAGCTTATATTTACGAGCGTTGCAACAAACGAAAACTAGAAGCTCTTGCCAACCGTCCACAATTGGCACGATTAATATTTGAATATGAAGAGAAATTAGAAGCAGCAAAGAAAAAGAATCCTGCAAAGAAAACAGTAGTGTTGGATACGATAAAATCTACCGCATCGAAGACAAAAGACAGTAAAAAGAAGATTATGCACTGAACCAAAAAAAAAAAACCAAATTTTATAAACATTTGGGAAGTTTAAAATTTTAATTTTAAAAATAAATTTTAGATTTCAATGAGGAAAGAAGGAAGTAAAATATTTTTTACCAAAATTCCACAAAATATTTTTACATTTTGTGCATTTATTAATGAAAACAAACAAAAAAAAAAAAAATTTTTAAATGTCGCAAAAAGCATCACCACTTGACTCAGATGAAGTAAAAAAAAAAAATGACTGAAGGTGTGGGGGGGGTGGATAAAAAGGGGAGGTTACTTAGTTTTTTTTTTATTTTCTGCTTTTGTTCAAAGTGTTATCATGGTTGATATAATGTTACTCAAAATTAAATTTTAGTAAAAAAGATTAAATTTTAATGAAATTTTAATTTTAAAATTTTAGTGAAAATTAAATTTTAAAACTTCAATAAAAAAATTAAATTTAAATAAATTAAATTTTAGTGAAAATTAAATTTAAAAAATTTCACTCGAAATTAAATTTAAACATGAATTTTCAAATAATTAAGTTCTTTGATATCGTAAGTTTTACACTGTCATCTTCAAATATCTGTTAAAATTATTTTTCTGAAATTTAAAAATAACCCTTTATTAAATCCACGGAGATTGTTGCCATTCTGCTGTCCATGTTAAAGGAAATCTCATATCAGTTAATTTAGATTTATATCTATTCTGTCTCTTTTCCCCTTAACCAGAATATGTACAACGTTCCCCCCCACCTACCTGTACCAGGGATTGAATTCACGATTGCCAGGTAACATAATCAATTACACTCTTGAGTTACATTCTACAAAAAACTCATCTCCACTGGCTCGGCAAAAAAAAGCAGATAAGTTTAAGGCTCCAAATTTCCGCCACTTCCTACAACAAACGCAGCCTTGTGAATGATAAGTCTTTGTTAAGCAATCTATCACATGTTGGTCAGGAGTTCAATCTCTCTGTCAGGTAGTGTGAAAAGTCCTCTACATTTGTTTGGTGGAAGAGACAAAAGATGCATTAACGAAATATCCTCGGCATCAGGTAACGGTTAACAAGTCTCACCCGGTTGACCCTTATTATTGTAGTATCACTGTAAAGTCTAATAAGAATATAAAACTAAGAACTTTAATATATAAATTGTTTATTTATTTTTGAACTTCATCAATTAAGGTCTGCATGAGGGAATGTGTGTCTTGAGGGACTTTCTTCAAACATTAATCATCTTCTCACAATGATGTGAGAGAAACCAGCCTTTCTTGGGTGGGGTACTTCTTATAACTTCCTGTTGTCTTGCATGTGCACATTCTAAGCTCAAACTGGGTTATGTGGCCCAATTTTGCACCTGGTGGCTATGAGGATACCTTAAAGGTCAACCTTCTAATGCACCTGGCTTTTTTTATGCTCTTGTGTGACATGGTGTAAAAAGCTTACATTGGTATATCTTAGGGTGAGTCCATTTCCTCTTTATGTCTGTTCATTCACTAACATCCTTTGAGGCCCGATTCTGCATTTGGTGGATATGAGGGTATCTTCTTGCTCAACCCTTAAGGCACCTAGCTCTTTTGATGTTCTGATATGACACAAGTACAAAGCTTAGGCTGGGCTGTATTGGTATCACTACTCTACTTAAAATAAAGGTTTCTTATCAACATTAAATGTGATTAAAACCTCTGGTATTTTCTAGTGTGAATCAGCACACTGTTGATTGAGTTTGATCCTCACTGGGTGCCCATACAATGTTTAACTAAACCCATCAAGGGTTGACATGTAAAATCAACATATATATCTGGTAGTAATGAAAGAATGAGAACAATTCCTCCCCCTCCCCTGGGATTGAATACAATGTTAAGTTTTAAATTTTCTGAACCTTGTAAAATATTATGGGTATTTTAAGAAAGCGGGTACACTGGTTGAAAAGTCCGAGTATATGTGTATTTGTTTTTTGTTTTCTCTTTTAAATTATTTGTTGTCTTTTTTTTTTTTTCTTTTTTTTAAATGAACTTATCCTTTTTATTAGTAAAAATTTTCTGTATGCATGGGGTGTGGAATGGTGGGGCATGGACGAGGTATAGAAAGCTTACATATCTTCTGCCTACCCTCCAAAAGAAAGAAAACTCGATTGCCCATTTTTATTCTATTTCTCAAATGTAAATTGGGAGATATATATATCTCAAACAAATAGTGGGTAACTGAATGGCAAATTGCAAAAGTCCTGTGGTACCTATTTCATCTTTGACAAGGATTTCTTCAGAATAATGTTTTTATTAATGCGCTCATATCTACATTTCCTCCCCTTACACACACACATTTCTACTCCCCCTCCCC